TCCTGCGCCTCGCCTGATAACCGTGCTCCACAACACTCAAGTTATTCACACTTACGTTACATAGGCGCGAAGCCCCGAGCGGAACAAGAAATACTGCCAGGCGGCTACCAACACCGCGGAGCTCACGGGGGAACTCAAAGAGGTAAGCGCTCTGAGGAGGCGCAAACTCGCAGATATGGTCTCTGGCAGGCGCGAAGACGCGCCAAGCGCCAGGACTTTAGGCAGTGGAAATCACAACAAAAGGACTCTGCCCTGAGGGTGCACGGCAGTCAAAGTCCTCCCCCGATCCACCTGAAGCCGACTACACAGCAACGCCTTAACGCTAGGTTCAAGGCGTCCCAGTCCTTGACGACCGTTGCGACGATCAATCACACCAGAGAAGCAGGTTCCAAGATCTCATTGCCCCTTCCCGCGGGCACACCCCTCAATCTAATGACTTGGAACGTTGAAGGACTCCGGGAAACGGCGAAGTACGATATGATAGTAAAATTTTGTAAAACACACAAAGTATCACTTTTGTGCGCTCAGGAAACTAAGTCAACCTCCTCTTATTCCTTTTGTAAATCCGGATGGGAAATCCGAATGTCAGCCATCCGAACGAAATACATCACGGCGTGGGTTTCTTCGTCTCCCCGACTCTCCGTTCTCATACCATAGACTTCAAGCCACACTCCTCTCGCATCTGCGAAATTACACTCGATACCTTACCGCATCCCATTACTATTTTAAGTATTTATGCATCCAGCACTGTGGACGACGCAGAGGAGGACAGACACAGAAAAACCTCCTTCTGGGAGGATTTAACAGAAATACTCCTGAATCACCCGAACTCGTCACATATCATAGTCATGGGAGATTGCAATGCACGGTTCGACCCCAACATTGACCCAGCCCAGCAGCACGTCGGCGTGCACGTCGTGGGCAGGCGACAAACTATTTTGGATGTTGACAGAGACAACGCGCTCCATCTTATGGAGCTCCTTGAGGGGCATGGTTTGGAAATTCCGCAAACCTTTCAGGACCTACCGTTCAGAAGGCGAGTCTCCTATAAGGAAACGACCTGTCAAGATCATTTATTGGAAGATACCAATCTGACAGATTGGACTACCTTAGATTACGCCATCACACCCCCTACGCTCCGCCACTCCTTCCGGTTCACAAGAAACGTGTTTCAGCAGCTCATCAACTCCCGACACCTTCCTCTGCTTTTCTCGCTAAAGACTACATTTCAAAATAGAACCGTCAGTCCGCCACACCGGAAAAAAGATTACACGGATCTCGCCTCTTTTTACAACTCAATTGAAACTGCCCTCCTCGCGAAAACCAACAACACTTTATCTTGTCCATCCCCGCCATCGCATACTATTATCGCTTATACAGATGGCTCCTGTCCTAATAACCGCACCGTCTCCTTTGAGAACCCCGCTGGATGGGGTTTCGCCCTTACCTCGGGTCACACACTCCCTCTGCACCCCCCGGTCACGGATGACTGGATCACATCGTGGGGTAAGGTCCGTTCAGAACCCACCACTTACCTCTCTGAGCTCCCTGGCTCCAATAACACTGGTGAACTTAAAGCGCTAATAGAGCTCTTTGACTACCTTCTCTACCACTCAGACTTCCAAAGAGCAGATTCGGTTACTATCTACCATCTATTCAGACTCACAGTATGCTCTCGCACTTCTTCTTGGCTCTTCTACGCCAGTCGCCCACCACCAATTGGTGGTACTTGCACAGCAATATTACACCACACTTAGAATATCTTACAGAGTTCGGCTTCTTAAGGTACCGTCTCACGAAGGGATTCCAGGTAATGAACTGGCCGATCGCTTAGCCAAACGTGGAGTTCAGTCCTTTGGGACAACAGGCCGGTTTTCCTTTACCCCTTCCGCCTCATTGCGCCCTCCAGAAATAGGCTTTAGTGAAGCCGCCTGGTCTTCCCTTCCCACTACTTCGCAGGATGACTTTATACGCTCTCAGATTAAAGACAATTTGAACCTGATACCACATTTGCCATCAGCGGCAAAGAAGCCATGGATCTCCGAAAGAACGCTTCGCCTTATCTCTACATTTCAGCATACCACATACACAGAGGTCGCTCCCTTGAAGGCGGCGCGTAAATCCATTAAGAAATCGGCGCGAGCTGACAAGAAACTCTTTATTGCGCAACATCTCGTAAACGACTTTCATAGTAGCTCGGTACACCAATGGGATCACGCTCGCCAGATTCGCTCCGAGTTTAAACCTAGAGCCACAGGCTTATACAACCCGCAAGGGAAATTGGTCTCTTCCTCCCAAAGAGCTAAAACATTTGCTGATTACGTAGCTACGCAGGTCTGGTACTCGGAAGTAGATCCTCCTGTTCCAGTAAACCACCCTTTTGCGCCTGTCCCCGAAATTGATACCCCTTTTACCATGCACGATCTCGATATGGCACTTCGACGTCTTAAGCCCCGAAAAGCGCCTGGCCCCAATGATATTCCAGGCGAAATTTACAAGCACGCCCCCTATATCCTTAAACTCTACCTCCTTTCTCACTATAATCAATGTCATGCGGAGGCAACAGTTCTCTCCTCATGGTTGTTTTCAGAGGTGGTCATGATCCTCAAAAACTCCTCTCCAACTATCGTCCAATTTCGCTCACCAATATCTCTTACAAAATATTTGCTTCTATGTTGCAACACAAGCTGCAGCATCATTTAGACCCCAGAGTCCGAGCTAGGCAATTTGGCTTTCGCAAGAACCGCTCTACCACACAACCGATTCACATAATTCGGCGCTTGTTAGAGGTTTTTGAAAGACAGAATTCGCCCTTCCACGCCCTATTTATAGACTGGAGTAAAGCCTTTGATTCAGTCACCTTTACCGCCCTTGATGCCGCCATGCAACATATAATATGGGGGTCCCCCCGCATACGCGCAAGGTAATCATGGCACTCTAGGCCAACCCCACGTTTGTGGTGCGCGATTCCTCTCAGAAATCCGCTGTTCATACGCAAACCAAGGGACTGCGCCAAGGCTGTCCTCTCTCTCCGTATCTATTTGGCTTTGTTCTGACTCACCTCTTTCATGACGTAGAGCTAGACTATCAGTCCAAGTTCGGAGAAATTTCTGGAGTGTTTCACATCCCTTCTCCTCTTTGGGACTTGGAATATGCGGACGACACTGTTCTCTTATCATGCTCCGCGGAGCAAATGAATCGCCTGTTGCATGCGGTCCAATTTCAAGGTCACAAGAGAGGACTTACATTTAATGAAGACAAATGCGAGCACCTACGCCTGCACTCAACACAGCGAATTTACTATGCTCCACAAACCAATGATCAATGCGAATGCAGCTATTGTGGAGGCATACATCATCCGCTTAGTCCTGTACCTCTTTCGGATGAAGGTAAATATCTAGGAGTCTACTTGGATCCGTCGAACAGCAATCGCAAGAACACCTCGTAGCGCGTCTCTCAGGCAGTTACTGCCTCTAAACTGTTTCGCCCGTTATTGTCTCATGCGTCTTTCCCACCCTCTTGGAAACTTACGGTATATAGATCCATTGTACTTACCATATTAATGTATGCAATGGACAGTGTCTTGTTGACATCCCCACAAATCCGTAAGCTCGATACTACTCACTACAAACCCCTTCGGCGCATTTTTAAAATCAAGTCATCCTTCTATCACAGAGTTTTAGACGCTTCTGACACCCCGTGCTCGAACCAGTACTTGGCTTCTTTGGCTTACGCTAGCCGGCGGGTACAAACACCGTCCCAACTGTATTCTCAACAGCCCTTACAGCTATCTGGTCATATTCATAGGCACCGGGAGTCCATTGAAAACACGTGTACATATATGAACTCCCACGCCTATCGCCACATAAGAGCGCCCAACCGCCCTGGACGCCCAAAAATACATTGGGCAGAATCTTGTATGACACAGGCAGCACAGCGCATAGATCACTTGCTGTCAGATCAGGCCCCTCTTCATGACCATATACACCATGAGTTCTTCGAGATTCCCTCCTCTCAACAAGTCCGCCATGCTCACAGGGCGTCTGGAGTCGTTTGGATGGACAACACCTTCTTATTTCGGCAGGTCCATCCCAAATGCCAGGATCGCAAGTACTGGCAGAAAGTCGTGCACAAACCAAACAGGGACCATGGACGCTAATTTAAGCCGCTCGTAAGTGAATTAGGATAGGTCGGTGCTGATGGGCTCCAACTGCGAGCCTTGCGCGTTCGAAAAAAAAAGGAACCTGATGAAGCCTGTTTTTTTTGGTTTTTGGGGGGTTTAGGGTTTAGGGTTTAGTAGGGTTTAATCCCGATCTTTCGGGGTTGTAGGGCCAGGGTTTCTTAACCAAGTTTTTAAATTACTGTACAACAAACCCTAAAGCCTCAAACCCCAAAGCCCCAAACCCTAAAACCACCGGATCCTTTACGTCCTTAAAGGATCATGGGACTTAGTAGCTAGGGTTATCAGGTTATAAGTCAGTTAGCTATACTTTTAATTAGCTATAACTTCAGTTAGGATACTTATAGCTGTACTTACAATGTCCCAAGAACCTACAAGTACCGACAGAACTTTAAGATAAGAGCCCATAAAGTTCAGGGTTACTTCGTCCCATGAACCTTTAAGAAGATCCTAAACATTGCAGCAAGTACCCTGCTAGAGAACCCTATTACAGAACCTTCTGCACCCTTGAGCAGAACCCCACTGCAGAACCCTATAGCACCCCTAAAAGAAAACCTTAAACCCTAGCTACGAAGTCCCATGAAGCCCTCAAGCCCCTAAACACTTAAACACCTAAACGCCTAAACGGTTTACCCTAAACCCCAAACAGTAAACACCTAACCCTTAACCCCTAACCCCAAACCCTAAACCTATAAACCTCCTGGCCCCTAGACCCTAAACCCTGAACCCCTAAAACCCCGAACCTCTGAACCCTAAAGCCTTGAAAACCCGTAGCTCCGGGCCCCGAGCTGACCCCGAGGCTGTGGCCTTCACCACCGAGTCGCTCCTGCAGCCGGCATTCTCCCTGGAGAAGGATCATGGCCTGGTTTAAGGTTTAGGGGCTAGGGGGTTTTAGGGGTTTAGGGTTTCGGGGTTGAGGGTTTAGGGTTTAGGGGCTAAGGAGTTTAGAGGTTTAGGGTTTGGGGTTTAGGGTTGAGGGTTTAGGGTTTAGGGGCTAGGGGCTAGGGGTTTAGAGGTGTAGGGTTGAGGGTTTCGGGTTTCTGATCTTCTAAAACCCTTTTGGTTAAGGAATGTAGTTTAAATCATATTTGGAATCCTGTGATTTTTTTTTAGGGTGCATTCCTTAGTTAAAGGATTTTGGAAGATCTGGAGGGATTGGGCAACTAGGATTTCGGGTTCCTTTTAAGGGTCCTATACTATAGGGTTCTAAAAGGATTCCCCTTTCAGGGTTTAGGGTCTACCTAAGGGCTCATGGGACTTAGTAACTATGATGGTTTAGTGTTCCTTTGAAGGCAACCATAGGATTCTTAATAGGGCTCGGTTCTGTAATCACCCCAGACCCTAACCCTAAACCCCAAGCCGTAGGCCCTAAACCCTAAGCCCTAAACCCTAAACCCTGAACCTTTAAAAAAACCCTAAACCCAAAGCACCAAACCCTAAACCCAAAGCCCTAAAGGGTTGGTCCGTGGAGAAGAACCGCTGCGAGCCGCGGGCTTCTAGAAGTTTGGGGTTAGGGGTTTCGGGTTTAGGGTTGAGGGTCTTCGGTTTACTTTTTGGGGTTCGGGTTCAGGGGGATTTCGTTTTTGAACGTGTGTGTTTGCCACCCCGAAAGCCCGGAAGGCAAGATCGTTTTTGGTTTTCGAATTTTGCCCTTTTTCCTCTCTGGTGAAACTTGGGGCATTTTCGAATTCCATGCATCTGTTGCCTTTTTGGTTCAAGTTCCGAGTCGCACTTTTGGAAACTTTTGAGCCTTGGGGTTTTCAACTTCTGTTGGACCGGGCCCCAGGCTCTAATCCGAGGTTCCGCCGCGCTTTGTTTCGACATGTCGAGCAGCTCCGTCGCCCCTTCTATTGCGCTGACAGCTGCAGAGCAGGCGCAGGTCGAGCGCTTGGTCATGGCACTCGCGAAGAGGCGGGCACGACAGTGGGTCAGGGAGAATGGTGAGACCCTCGCGTCTGACCCTGATGAGCAAGACATGGTGGAAACAGCGCGCGCTGCACTGCTGCACTTCGTGCGGGAGATTCCCCCCGAGAAGATCATCTCCTTGGGCGCGGCGGCGACCCAGTCCAAGAGGGCGGCCGAGAAGTGGGTGGCAGCGCGCGAGGAGCCGCCGCCAAAGCGACCGCGCTCTGGTCTCTGAGGTGGCGACATGGCAGCCTCGATCGGCCTGCCTCGCCCGGTTATCAATGCTGCGGGCTCAAGCTCTTGATGCCGTTGGCTTTGGCTGGCAAGGCTTCCTGGAAGGGGCCTTCGTTGGCCATTAGTGTCCCTTCGTGCTGCCAGCTTGAGCTCCTGATGCCGCTGGCTCTGGCTTGCAAGGCTTCCTGGAAGATGCTTTCATCGGCCGTTTCAGATCTGCGATTTATGGCCAGTGATCTCAAAAGAAGGGAGCCTCCGTAGATACCTGTCTCAGCGTACATTCTCTGGATGTTGTGAGTGCGAGCTTTTGCATGTGCCAAGCTAGTTGGGCCACTCCTCAAAAGAATCCGTTCTCGCGC